ACCAGGACAGGCATGTGGAACCTCTGGGAAGCGAGGTAGTCGCTGACTCAAGCCGTAGGGGGTCCTTGCGGTCACTAAATCTACTTTCCTGGCACCTGAACTTGGAAACTGCATTTCCGTTCTCATTAAACCCCCAAAGTCACAGGGACTCCCCGTTGCCTGTCATTCACTTGATTTTTCTTAAACGTTTGGGTTCCATGGACCCCTTTGGCTATCTGGTGGAGCCCATGGACCCTGCCGCAGAATATTTTTAAATGCATAAAATGAAGTGCCTGTGTTTACAAAAGAAACCAATTACACTAAGATTTTCATCTAAATTGTGGTGTAGTAATTATGTGCTTTTTCAGTAGCACATTAGCAAGTTCTAGCAGCAGCTCTGATGACCCCATTAGTTGGAGGTGGTGATGTGTGCGAAGATATTTTGAGACATCTGCAACCATTGCAACGGGATGAGGGAACGTCTGCCTTTTAACAGCTCCCCGGGGATTGAGATATAGAGGGTCCGAGCAGCTCCCTTCAGGAAACATCACTCTCAGAAGAAATGCTAAGATGCACCCAGGACAGGACCCTAGAAACGCAGAACCTGGCCACAGTGTGGTCATGTCTGCATGGCCATAGCATGGGCACCACTCCTCTGGCCCACACACTTTGATCTCTTGTGGTCTCAAAGGTTTGTCCTGGAGTATAGTTAGGACCCCTCAGGAGGCAGCCAATCAATGATTCTCTGTCATCATTGATGTTTCTATCTCTCTCTCCCTCTCCCTTCTTCTCTGAAATTAATTTTTAAAAAATACTGTTTTAAAAAGAAGAAGAAAGGATTTGCTAAAATATCTGCACTTCACCTAAGCAGGCAGTCTGCGGGAGCAGCTTGTGGCCTAAATTGTTTTTAAGGACAATTTGCTCTGCAAATTAAATGCTGTCATTGCGGTTGAATGTTGACTTTCGCATATGAATTGTTGGCACACAAATGGGTGCTGCTAATTGTCAGTGGGTTTTGTACATTCATTAAGCGGGGCCCCATAGAACATATGCGAGGAAGCGCATTGGTAAGCCACGTGGGCGACTACAGATAATGAAATTGCCTTCTTTGCTGGCCTGCCTGTAATTTAGACCAGCTTGCACTGTGGTCTGAATCAATACAGCCTTGCTCTCTCTGTGCACAAAGAGCTGTTCTTCATATTCAGAGGTTACTCTGCCGGAGTAGATTCTAGAAACCACTGTTTTTCCAGCAAAGACGAGGTGGAGAGAATTTCTTCCCAGCCATCACAGCTCTTGAATCCGGCTGTCGTCCAGGTTGGAGGGCAGAGCCCCTGACCGCGACCTTCTTAATAGCCAGTAATCGTATCAGCAGCAGCTGATGTTGTTGAACTAGGAAACTATGAAAAATCTATATGAATTATCTCCACTATGGCCATTACTGTCCACATTGACATGGCAGTGGAGGTGAGAAGAGGATAAACAACTTGTCTTAGATCAACCTCGCCTGTGAGCTGAAGGGCTGGAGCTTGGACCCTCTTATGGCTTGGGGTGAAAACGCACCCACTATTTCTGGAGCCCCTACTGTGTGCCAAGTGCTTTAAATACATTAATGGTATTAATGTTCCCATTTCACAGATAAGAAAACTGAGACTTGGAAGGATAAATGCCTGCCCCAAGGCAGAGTCATAATTCAAACCCAGTTGTTGTTTTTCTTTTTCTACTTTGCTGTGCTGTGTCCAATTCAGTTTTGCCTTCTGAGCACCTAACACATTGCCCATAGCTTGGGGAATACCCGTTGCATGTCAAACAAGTAAATGAATGACCCACAGTGAACTAGTCTGTAAGAAAATAAATAAATGAAGCTGAAGAAAATGTTACAGGTGAGGGGAACTCTTCATGAAACTCCAGTAAAATGGTAAATATTCGATTGAACTGAATTTTGAATTCAGAGAAGTAGAACTGAACCTCTGTATGTCTAAAATATTTGAATGAGAAGCTAAATCAAGATCCCACAAAGATCCCCAAACATTCACAGCCTGGTGATTCTTTAACCAGAAGCCCTAGGAATTTTTTTAAAAATATATTTCTTTATTGACTTCAGAGAGGAAGGGAGAAGGAGAGAGAGAAACGTCAATGATGAGAAAGAATCATTGATTGGCTGCCTCCTGCACATCCCCCACCAGGGAACAAGCACACAACCCAGGCATGTGCCCTTGGCCGGCATCGAACCTGGGACCCTTCAGTCCGCAGGCCAACGCTCTATCCACTGAACCAAGCTGGCCAGGAGAAGCCCTAGGAATTTTGCTAGGTGATGTACTGAACATCACAGGTGACTTAGAGTCTGGCAGGCAGTCCAGGTCACTTTCCCTGAACCAGTGAGGACATCTGGGGGTATTGGGTCCACCTAGTCTCCCCACTGAGGCCAGAGGGGAAAGCAGAGGCCCTGGGTTTTCTCACTCTTGAACCAACTTGACTCTACATTTGGTTCTGTCCCATCCCGTACCCGCGTCCTCTGAGATCTTGCCTGGACTCTCCTGGGGACATCCCAGTCTTGCCCCCAAGCTCCCAATTAACCGCCCATTGGACAGTCATCAATTATAGTAATTGCTTCCTGCTGTTTAAAGGGAAAAACTGAGGACTTCATTAAAAAATGCCTCCTCTTGTAATCTTTTCACACTTAACCATGAACTTGTTGCTCCCACTCAATGAGGCAATCACAACAGGGCCATTAATTTAAAGCTGTGTGTAAAAAGGTTTTCTGGGTTGTCTATCCAATGTGTCACCAGGAAAAAAAAGCCGGGGGGTGGGGGGGAAGGGGGACAAAACAAAACAGCCCTACTTGCTTGGACAAGGGGGTCTCTCTCCTTGTTTGAAATGCAGATGGCTCTTCCTAGAGTCTAGCTGCCTCCAGTCCCAGGGTTGTGGGAGGTTTGAAATGTGCTGTAGTGAGTGGTAGCTGACCGACGATGAAATGAAGAGCAGAGGAGGATGTGAAGGCGCTGCCTAAGCTCAGGCTAACAGAGGCGCCGACTGCTGGCACGTGAGGCCCTTTGTCCCAGGGCACTCACGGGGGCGTGCAGGAGGATGGCTTAGTCGGAGATGCGCTGATAACCTGAGTCTGGCAGGTTACAGTAGCGTTTCCCAAACAGCAGCACTGGAGACGGTTGTAGGTGATACAGAAAACACTAAATTTTTAATTTGCATGAATTTTTTATGAGTACCAGAAAAATATTGGTTTTCCATTTATGGCACTGATAGGAGGTTTCCTTTTCCAACGAATTTATTTGTGGGAAAAGAATGAGCCAATTTAAAGAAAATATTAAGTAAATAAATTGTACCTGCGGCACACAGATTACGAGGGAAGTCATGATGGTGATTCCCACATGGTTACACATGGATGTTCAAGTCGGTTCCTAGAGCCAGGCTCCCGCTGCCCAGACTCAGGGCTGCTCGTTACAAGTGACTTATGGTTTGGGTGTCATGAAGCTGGCAGGTGAGGCAGCAGAGGGCACATACATAAAGCAGGGTTTAAAGTGGAACTAGTGGTTGTAGAATCCCTGTGTCAATTTCATCTCCAACGGCCAGCCCTGCTCAGACAACCTTGGGGCCTCTGATCCAAGCACCAGGCTGATAATGATGGTGATGATGATGATGTTGATAGAAATGATGATGAAATGATGGTGATGATGATGATGTTGATGGAAATGATGATGGTGGTGATGATGGTAGTCTGAGTCCAGAGAGCACCTTCCTAGCCACTGTACAGGAACAGAACAAGGAATAAGTCATGGTCTCTGCCCTTGAGGCTCCATAGATGTGTGGATAGATAACTGGGAAACATGACAGAATTAAACAAGTAATGTTTTAGTCATATTAGCAGGTGTTGCAGATACACAGGGGAAGGGGAGATTGATTCTGACTGGGGGCATTCTGGAGGGCTTCATGTAGGAAGAGGCATTTGATCACAGCCTTGAAGGTCTTCAGTAGTTGGGAGCATGAAAGGATGAGCACTCTAAGGTGTGAAACAATAAGAACAGAAGCAGGGAACCCGGAAGTGCAGGGCGAGCTGAATGATGCTCAGAGGAGATGGTTAGCCCACCCAAGGCAAAAGGCTCCCCAGTGTCTTGGAGGATAGAGGAGTGGTGCCGGGGCCCTAAACACGGACCCTTTTCTTTTCTCCACTCCCTTTTGGTTTTTGTTTGTTTGTTTTGAGCTTTTTTTATGGGAGCTCTCAAGAAAAACAGATGGAAAGGTGAGTGTGCTCCAAGTTGACCTGAGATGGAAGGTACAAGAAAATAAAAAATACTACTTCAGGAAGCTTATTATTCCAATAGTACCTACCAAGCAGCACATTCCATAACGCAAAACCCAGAAACTACAGAAATGTTGGATATAAAGGAATATTACCCACAATCCCACTAGGCAGACAAATCCGTAGTCAAAGTTTTGATTTTTTTTAAAATATTTACTCAGTACATACTTTTTAATAGCATAATCCTAATCACACTGTATGCAGTTTTGAATTTCACTCTTTTCGCACTCACCATTTTAACATCAGGATTTTTTGTGACATTGCACCTCTATGTAAACATTTTTAATGACTTGCATAAGTTGATGATGGTATCGTGTGGATGTACCAGAGTTATTTAACCACACTCTTATTCTTAAACATTTGTTTCTTTGTCAACTTGTGGACCCTGTAAATAAGGTTTGGGTGAAAATCCTTGTGCGTGAAGATTTTGCTGCATTTTGGATTCCAACTTTGGGACAGAGTCCCAGAAATGGAATTACTGAATCCAGGGTAAATGGCATCTGTTAACACCTTGGCTGCAAAATGCCAGCTTTCCTTAAGACCGACTTGGAGCTGGACCAGGCGGCACTGGGCTTCACTCAGAAAAAGAGGTTGAAGACCGCAGGCATGAGAGTCACACGTGTCCAGGTTGAAATCTGTCTCTGCTTCTGACTACCCTTGACACCTTGAGTCTCAGTTTGCTTTGTCGATGAAACAGGATTTCTCAGGGATCTTCAGGCACATCTTTTCTGCAAGTCTTTGCTTCCTGAGGGATCTGAACTCTTACTTCTGTCTACAGGCGACCTGGTGTCCCGAGCAATGCACCACCTGCAGCCCCTCAATGCCAAGCACCACGGCAACGGCACCCCCCTGCACCACAAGCAGGGGGCGCTCTACTGGGAGCCTGAGGCCCTGTACACCCTTTGCTATTTCATGCACTGCCCGCAAATGGAGTGGGAAAATCCCAACGTGGAGCCTTCCAAAGTCAACCTCCAGGTGGAAAGGTAAGACCGGCCTTCACTTCGCCAAAGAGGAGAGCTCCCCTCTGGCCATCACTGCCTACTGGTGGGAGGGTGGGCACTGCCTTCTTCCATGGAGGCGCGGGGTTGGGGAGGGGAGGGATGCTGGGATCAGGATTGTCCAGCTCCCAGAGATTCACTGGAGAGGTCCAGATGGGAACCAAGGGCCTGAGGAGGTACCTGAGACCCTGGTGGAGTCTTGGAAGTGGGATTTCATAGAGCAGGTCCAGTTCCAGGTTAAAAAAAAATAAAATAAAATAAAAATGACCTAGGTCAGAAGAGCAAGTCTGCAAATTCTGGGGGAGGTGAAGGTCTGGGTAGTGCAAGGTAGCCTCCTTATGAAGGCACCTTTGGGGGGATGCCAGCTCCAGGAGTGGTACCTGCATTTCATTCTGGCTGCCCGAGACTCTCCGAGGGGAAGAAGGGTTAGATCGTCAATACCTGCTCATCCAGAATGGGCCACGCAGAGGGGTGGGAGACTGGTTTGCTGGGGGAAGCAGCATCCTCACAGGAAAGAAAACCAGGGGAGAAAGAAGGGAGAGCTTCCTGGGAGACAATGCCCCCTCTGACCCGGCTTCTGCTGCTCCTTGGCTCCATCCTTCTGCTTCCCCGTGTCTCAGTTTCCCCATCTGTAAACCAGTGGCTGAGCTAAGTGGTTCCCAAGTTCCACCCTGTCAGAGGCAGGGCATCAGAAACTACCCTGCAGGCAGCCCCTCTTTCTCTGGGAAAATATCCACAGAGCTCACCTCCCAGTGTCTCACGAATCAGGCCCCCCCTCCACGCAGGCCTCTTTGCTCCAGCTCCCGTGGTAGTGACCCCTGTCGATCAGAACAGTGGTTAAGAGAGCAGGCTCTGTGACTCAGACACTGAGTTCAAATCCAGGCTCTTCCAATGAAAAGCCAGGGGGCCTGCCCCAGCCGGCGTGGCTCAGTTGGTTGGGCATCATCTGTGTACCACAAGGTTGCCAGTTCGATTCCCAGTCAGGGCACATGCCTGGGTTGCAGTTCTCAATCCCCAATAGGGGATGCGCGGGAGGCAGCCGATCCATGTTTCTCTCTCTCCTTCTCCTTTTCTCTCTCTCTCTCTAAAAATCAATAAAAATATTTTTTTAATCCAGGGGGCCTTGGGAAAGGGCCTTGACCTCTTGTGCCTCAGCTTCTTTATCTGCATTGTAGGACTACTAAGAGTAACCCTTTCATGGGGCTGTTGGAAGATTAGATGAATGGAATAGTGCCCGGCACATAGTAAGTGCTCAGTAAATGTTCGCTTTTTATTGTTGTAGATATTATCTGCATGAAGCTAAACAATTCCCATTTGGCCTCCGTGCAGTTTTCCTTTCTCTGTTACATGTTTCCAAGTTGTTTTAAAATTCTCGTTGGCTGCTCTGTGCCTGCCAGAATGCATTCGGCCTTGGAAGTGGGCTCTGCCACAAAACCGCCTCTCTTGGCTTTCAGTTTGGGGAAGAAGATGGAGCGTGGGCTAGACAGAACTTGCCTTTAAAAAAAAACAAAAAAAAACAAATCCCCAGTTAGCGTTAAGATTTCAATCCAGTCTGGAGTTAGCTTAAATCAGGGGCTTACTCACGTCTCCCACTATCCAGGCCAAATCAGTGGGTACCCTGTGCCTCTCTTCCTGTGCCAAACATGCCCCAAATGAGAGATGGCAAAATGTCCCTGGTCCCCAGGCAGAAATAAGCTCGGTCTGACACACCAAGACGCCGCTTTCTGTGAGTGTGAATCCTGAGAGTGGAGAGAATGGAAACCGTTGGCCTGTGGAGAGCCTGTGTCTGCAGCCCCCGGCCCCCATCCACTGCTCATACAAAGCACATTTTCTCTGACTCAACCCCTCACGCCTTCAGCTCCCACCTCTAAGCAGATGACCCCCCTTCACCATTCCCAGCCAGACATCCCCTCCTCTGACCTCCATTCTAGGAAGACCCCTAAGGTTTCCACTTTCTGGGACAAGTTTTCATGAGGATGAGCCGCCGGGGAGGACGGGAAAGGGAACATGGCCCGGGATCTGTTGGAGTCGTGTATCTCGGTCTTTCCATTCCTTTTTGGTTGGATTTTCAGGCAACAACACAAAACACAAAGTGGCGCATGTCGTGTTTGAGTTCTGTTCACTTTGGTCCTCTGGGAAGGGCATGGATTTAGGAGTCAGGTGGGCCTCTGAGTGTGGGTCCCAGCTCTGTTTCTTCCAGCTCTGAGACCTTGAGCAGATCATTTCCTCAGCTTTAAATGCGAACAAGCCCATCCTCACGGACAGGCGTCCACAAGGAGTTAGATTTGTAGCTAAGACATCCAGTGCCATGCCTGGTACAAGGGGACCTCCCTTTGTCCGCGTCTCCCCAAAAGTAGCTGATGTTATGCCCTTTTGTTGTTGTTGTTGTTGTTCTAAAATACTGTTATCATGTCCCTACAGAAGCCTGTGTGTGATTCCTTCTAGACAAAAGCTATTTCTTCCTTTCCCTGATAGGACAGGCATTGGTGTTTAGCACCTGAAAACATACATTTCCTTCAGACAAGAGAGAGCCTCTAACTGTTTCAGTCAAGTGTTTACACCGATTGCATCCTAAATCCTCCATCAACAAGGCATTTCCAGCGGGAGGTAGAACTTGAATCAGGAGTTGCTTTCTTCTCTCTCTTTCTGTCTCCTCTCCCCCACTCCCCCTCCCCAAAAAAAATCAAACAAGATTTCCTTGACCCTTTACTTCTATTCTGGCAAAGGCAGGAAGGGCCACGGTGCCGATAAGGTTTTCCACGAGTCTAGAAGTTCTTCCGGGAACGGGTCTGAAGAATAGTATGCTTTTGCTCATGCCCAGCAGAAAGGCTGAGAAATATCGGTTGACGGAAATACAGATTGTGTTGTGCCTGAAACCATTTCTCCTTGTCAGAGGAGCCTTTCTTGGCCGGAGCATTTGGAACAAGGCCCACGGGCACCATTTTACTCTCTCATGCGGGCACAGCTTTAGGGCTGCTGCGTTTGTTTTGGATAGCTTCATTTTTCACTGGGGGATTTTGAAGAAACTCAGTGCCAGTCTGAAATTTCTGTCATTTAAATTTCTCCAGAACTTTGGCTTCTGTTTTTGGAACTTCTGAAATCTTTCGGGTACCTCAGATATTTTTATTAAAAGGAAAACCCAAATAAATCTTGTGAGATTATGATTAGGCAATATTTCTTCTCCTTAATTTTGAGGGTAGGGGCCACGTGAGGCTACTGTTTTAAAATGGAACCATCATAAACCATGATAAGATTTTCTTTCCCTCTATCATTACTGAAAGTGTCAGTGATTCCTAGGTGCATTTTGGTTATGGATGATTTCAGTAATTTGTTGCCACAAAATGATAAATAGTAGGATAAATAGGAGTATTCTGTTGCCTGCGGTAGCTGGTAATGCCTCAGAGAGACGTTGATCAGCTTCACCTAGAACATTAGACAGTTAGGCAGTTCTACTCTCCCCCAGCCTCACTAAAAACAAACCAGAATGTGAACTCGGCAGTGGCAGCTCTCAGTCCTTTTGCAAGAAGAGCTGTACGATGTGGCGGACTGTCTACTAGGGGAATCTCAACCACAACCCCAAGTATACCATCACCAATGACTTATTTGAGGAAAACTAGAGGGAGAAGCAAAATAGTCTTAACAAATGGAAGCCCTGACACTTGAAGAAATCAGTTTAATAAGGCAAACACAACTGACACTAGAAGTTAATGGTACCCAAATACATCTTCCAAGACATTCACGCTATTGAAAGATCATCTCAGATATATCTGTTCTTAATGCTTTTTCATCTGTGGCCTTTGTGACACAGTGATTTTTCAAATTTCAACATGCTCCAATGGACAGATCCAGGGTTATGTGAAATTTCCAGCATTCTAGGTATAACTCTTCCCCATTCTTTCCCATTAAGGAATGTCTCCTACTCCAAGTGAGTGGAAGCATCCTTGATGCAAGCAACACTTGCAAGGCTGGAAACAAACTCTAGGAATGCTTAGTTGTAAAAGTTGAGCCTACTATGGCTGCTTAAAGCAGAAAATAAAACTTCTGAGGGGTCCAGTATAGACAGAGATTACCAAATACGTTTTCCTTCCTCATGAGAATTTGACCTGGGTTAATTCGCTAACTCTGTTTCTCTGGAAACCTGCTAAAATTTTCAGTATTAACTGTGTTATTTAGCAACATTGCTTGTGGTCAGATTAACCCTAGATTGATCCATTAGATCTGGTTTGGTAGTCCTATAAAGACTTCATAAACATCCAGAGCTTGGGGCTGCTTTGAATTCATTGACTCTGATAACTGGCAATGTTTGCACAGGAGCCTTAGCAGCTATTTCTATGGAATTGTTACAAGAGATATTGGGGTTCATAAACTAGGGAAGTTTTCACATCCCCCCGAGTGGATCTCCTCTCCTTGCACCTGAGTGTCACCTGGACAGAAGATAGCTCTGGAATGGCTGGGTGCATTGCTATTAGGACTTCCACTAAAAGGGACATCTGATGTTGTCCTATGGTAGTCCCATGAGTCTAAAAGTTTAGTAGAGCTTAAGACTGCTGGTGGACATTGAAGCCAGAGAACCCGGCTTTGAGGATACACAAGCTGGAACAATGCCCAAGTTGCACCCCATCCAGCAGAGACCTCCCATTCTCAAGGGCTGGGCACAGACACTTGACCTCACACCACTGAGGCTGGGCATTGTACACTCCCAACAGGACCTCTGTCACCATTATCCCTGAAAGCTCAGTGTCTCTGCTAACACCCTGTCAGCTCTATATTCCACCCATGTCACACCACTTGCTTCCCAATCAGTGGGGCCCAGGCCACATGCCTGCACCATAGCTGCAAGGGAGTCTGGGAAGGTGAATTTCTACCTTCTTGAACAATGGATTAATCATATGGGAATATTCCAAACACAGTAAGATCATCAGTGATTCTGGGCAACCAAAAAAGTTGACAAAGTTCCACTATACTCTTCTATTTTACTTTATAAAATAAATAACTCACAAGTGAATCATTTGCACAATTTAGTACTTTTGAGCATTATTGGCCACACATCTCACAGGACCTCACTAGCTGTTTCTGGCACCCTAAGCAGGGATACAGAAGCCTATTCCCAGGGGAAGAATTCCACTTCATCTTCCTAAGGGCAGTGATCACACCTGGCACAAAAGTTCCCCAAATACCCAGCCCAGTGCTAGTAGGTCCTGGAGAAATTCAGAGTCAGTCGAATGAGACGCGATAGAGGAGAGGACCATCTATTAAGCCTATTTTATGCAGAGCTATATGGGAGCTTCTGTGGACTGGACTGGCATCTCAGCCACCATATAAATGATTCTAAGGGGAAAATAATTATGTTGCCTTCTAACATAATTAGAATTATGTTTTAAAACATGATTCATTTGTAACTGGAGCATTGCTGCAATTTATTTCATCCGGCGAGGGTGAAAACAAACTCTAATCCCAATAGTTTCAAACTGTAAGTTACAGCCCATTAATGGGCCATTAAATCAATGCAGTGCAGAGCCTGGCAAACTATACCCCATAGGCCAAATCTGGCCCACTGCCTGTTTTTATAAAGTTTTATTGGAACACAGCCATGCTCATTTGTTTACACATTGTTTATGGCTGCTTTTGCACTTTTGATTTAGTTGTGACGGACATCACATGGCCCACGAGGCTGAAAAATACTCTGGCCTTTTCCAGAAAAATTTGCTGACCCCTGATGTTCTGAGTTGTAACCTGCATTTTTAAAAATGAGGTAGAATTGAATTAAAAAGTAAAATTAGAATATTTTACATGAGGAAAAGTAAGGATGTTTGATGAAACTTTTTTTCAGTTATGTTAACTGGCATTGATTAACTTACCCAAGATCATGTAGTTAAAGTTGCAGAACTAGTGCTTGAACTCTTGGAGTCAGACCCTGGTCTGTGCTTGTATTCATGAGTTTGTTTTGCTATCGATGGGCTATAGTTTTAAAGAAATAATGTTTGACTCATCCCTAATCCCTAAAATATGTTAAATAATCCTCCTGACTGTTTATAGGATATAAAACTAATATACGTATTAAATAAAATGTGGTAAGTACAAAACAACAATAAAGAAGGAATGTTGGATCACCCATAGTCTCTGCTGCATTCAGGAATAAGCACTGAGACCATGTGGGGCATTTCCTTCCATCCTTAGTTTTCTGTGGATATGTAATTTTTTTGGTTGTTTCACAAAATAGACATACATAGTTGATCTCTATTATTGAATAATCTTCAAAAGCAAGGTTTTTCAATGCCTGTTCGATTATTGGACATGGGATTTAATGTCGAGAGACCTGGGAACAAGCATGCTGAATGTGAGGATGATATGTCGAGGATGATAAAACAGAGGCCGAGTTCTCTGAGGGAAATGTCTGGAGTCATAAGCACATAAGCACATTTGCAGTACCTCAGTGCCTTTGCACATGTTTTGCCCTCTTCCTGGAATACTGTCTCCCTTCTGCTCCATCATCTGACTACCTCTATCATTTCATCCTTCAAGACTCATTTTGGGTATCACCTCCTCCAAGAACCCTTTTCTACCACCTCAGGATGCACTGAGTGTCCATCCAGGGCCTAGGTCAGTGCATAGCATATAGGAACTGCTCAATAAATGCTTGTGGAACTGAACAGAGCAGGTTCTGAAACCTGTGCGTTCTGTCCCATGGCCCAGAGAGCCATATTGCTGTTGTCAACTCAGGCAGCCCTCAGCTTAGTACTGGCTCTACTGTTCCCTTGCCCCAGGCCCCAGACCTTAGCTATAAACAAGAAATAATAATCCTACTGCATGGAGTAATTTCAATGACTAGTGAACTAACTTCTGTAAAAGCCATACATAATCACGGAAACATAGCAGTTGATCCATTAATGGTAAGAATTATGATTTACTCCTTTAATCTAGGTTGACCTCTTCTTAGATATTATAAGAGATTTTGATTGACACTTAGTATGTGGCAGGCCCTGCTCTATACCCTTTATATGTATTAACTAATTCAACCTTCACAATTCCCCTTGAGGTAGGAGCTAGTCTTACCTCTCCCCATTTTACAGATGAGGAAACTGAGATGCAGCAAGGTTATGCAACTTCACATATGGGCAGGTCTGTGAGTATCAAAACTATCAAATGAATGTTGGGTGGGGATAGCATTCATGGGGGGCAGGAAGGTGAGAGAAAAGAAAATGAGATCTTGTTCAGAAAAGGTGTTGGATACAGCAACAAACTAGACTGGAAGGAAAGTTGAGAGACTGGCCAAGACGTCAGGACTTTCTCCTATAAGCAGTGAAAAGCCAGAAGGGATTCAAGAAGGGAAATGAGACCAGAACTGGATCTGACACCTCGTAAGCTCTCCTTAACAGCAGCATTAGAATGCCAAAAGGAAAGTAATCACCATTTGATGAGCACCTACTATGTGCCATGTACTATGGAGGCACTTTACTTAACAGAGCTTAATTGAATCCTTACATTAACTTCGTGAAGCAGAAATGTCTTCATCTACAGATGAGACAATTAATTCTAATTGCTGCTCAGTAGGAAAAGGCTTTTTGGAAGCTTTTGAGGTAACATTAAAGACCTTCACAGCACGTTAATTATATCTCTGGATTTTTTTTTTCTGGAGCCAGAATGCCTGAGTTAATATCTTGGTTCTAACTCTTATTAACTGTGTGACTTTGAACAAGTTACTTAACCATTCTGAGTCTCAGTTTTCTCATCAGTAAAAAAGGGAGATACTATAGATTCTATTTCAGAGGGCTGTTATGAAGCTCTTCGATATATATATATATATATCACTTAAAATCCAGCACACTTTAGGCTCTTTATGGGTAATGGCCATTATTATTCTCACTGAATAATAATGGTGCTTATAACCTGGGTGTACACGCCAGCAGGGCTTCTCAAACATCGATGTGCACTTGAAGCCCCTGGGAGCTCATTAAAATGCAGATTCAGTTCATTAGGTCTGGGGTGGGGCCTGAGATGCTTCATCTCTAACAAGCTCCCAGGTGAAGTGATGCCGCTGGGCCACGAGCCACTCTGTGAATAACAAGAAATGACATGTTTTGTGTGTTTGTCATTTATTTCCCCAACCTATTCCAATCCCCATTTTTCAGTTACATAAGGGCAAAGAACAAGCTTTTATGGTGACTTTTGCTCTCTGGTAGAGCTTGGCACATAATAGGGGCCTAGTAAACGTTTCCCAGGCTTTGGGGGCTGGAGTGAGCCTTGCAGGGCCTTTCCTCCCCTAACCTCCTGAGATGCCAGATAGATCCCGCTGCAATTTCCACGATGCATGGATTCCAGAGGTCAGACGTGGCCGGTCTGCAGGATACTCGGGCTCTGGAGCAGCGGCCAAGGGAGGATGCTGAGCATCAAATATAATGACCATCTTTAGCCTAGCGAGGTGGCCAACGGATCTAAAGTAGCTCTGGGGTAGCAGATTAGCCACAAGCGTGCAAGGGAAGGATGAGGCAGGAGTGACAGGTGTCTTCCCGGAGGAGAGGCAGCAGGACAGATCCTGAGCGTCAGGCTGTTAACACCTCCACCTCCAGGGCTCCTCAAGCAGCTCAGCCTCCGTTACCCAGGAGTGTTTCCCAGCCAAGGGGGAGAGATTGCTCCCGACTGCAGGTGACAAGTCACGGGGCTCACGTTTAACACCAGCCCCCTCTGCCAACATGTGGGGTTGGTCTGATCAAATGTGTGTACTGTACTTGTTCACGTCAATATTGAGGCCTTTTCTGAATCCTGGCTCACTGGCTGCCACAGCAGTCTGGTCTGACCTAACCAGCTTCTTTTTATTCTGTGGGGAAAGGGCAGACATTCTTACCTTTATGACACAAAGACCAAGGAACCATCGCTGTACTGTCCAGTATGGTAGTCACTAGTCATGGGAGGCTGTTTGAATTTAAATTGATTAAAATTAAATAAAACGAAAGCTTTGATTCCCCAGTGCCGCGAGCCTCCTTTCAAATGCCCAGTGGCTACATGTGGGTAGTGGTTTCTGTGTTGGACAGCTCAGATAGAGGATATTTCCAGCATCACAGAAACTTCTATTGGACAGCACTGAACTAGAAACTCAATGCAGAGCCCATGATAGTCAGCACTCCCCAAGCATTCAGGTAAGGAGTGAGTGCAGGAACCAGGGACCAGCTCACCTGCCGAGTCACATTCCACATTCCCATGTTTTGATCATCTTAGAACTGTGGTTTTTATTTTTTAAAAATATATTTTATTGATTTTTTTTAGAGAGAGGAAGGGAGAGGGATAGAGAGTTAGAAACATCGATGAGAGAGAAACATCGCTCAGCTGCCTCCTGCACACCCCGTACTGGGGTTGTGCCCACAACCAAGGTACATGCCCTTGACTGGAATCGAACCTGGGACCCTTGAGTCCGCAGGCTGATGCTCTATCCACTGAGCCAAACCGGTTAGGGCAGAACTGAGGTTTTTAAAAAAACCATCACCACCCCTCACCATCACCACCAAGTTTTACCAAGTATTTACAACGGACGAGGCTCCCTTTTTTTAAAATATATTTTTATTGATTTCAGATAGGAAGGGAGAGAGATAGAAACATCAATGATAAGAGGGAATCACTGATCGGCTGCCACCTGCACAACCCCTCCTGGGGATCAAGCCCACCACCCGGGCACATGCCCTTGACCAGAATCAAACCTGGGACCTTTCAGTCTGCAGGCTATCGCTCTATCCACTGAGCCAAACCAGCTAAGGCTAGGCTCCCTTCTAAGTGCATTAGCCATTGAGTCCTCACAAGAATCTTCCGTGTATAGTAGCACCTTCATATCCTAGGGCTACAAGAACTTAACATTCTTGCTTAATATACTTCCCAACTTCACAGTCACCCTCGGAGATACTGTCATTCTGCCTCTTTCACAGATGAGGAGAGTGAGGTTTAGAGAAGTTCAAGGACATGCCCAAGGTCACACAGCTAAGCTAGTAAGTGGCTGGGCTGGAGGTTGAGCCCAAGCACTGTGATTCCAGAGTCAGTGTCCTCTGGGTCCCATATGGCCCCGGGCCTGGCATCATTTGCTTCCACGTCTGTCTCTGCTGCCAGACTTTGAGCTCCTCCCAGGCTTTGCTCGTCCCTTGCTCTCTCCGGCAGCCAGCCAGGGCCTGGCACAGAGTGGGTGGGTGGGGGATGGAAAGAACAGTCTCCGCGCCTGGCAGCAGGAGAACGGAGCAGGCAGTGGAGCAGGGACCAGTGAGAAGGTTCCAGCAAGAGCCCACAGACAGATGACAGGCGCATGGCCTCACCGAACGCCATCCTCAGTGCCCCCAGTGCGAGATGCCACCAGCAGGCTCCATCCTTTGATGAGTGGCCCTGAGAAAAGCTGCGGGAGGCTCCTGGGATTTCCAGTTCTCTCTTGTTTGCCTGGACCTGGCAGCCCTTGGCAGCCCTGCATCTGGGACCTCGAGCACTGTACCCGAGTGTTTTGAACAGGCAGCAAATTCTTTTTTAAGAATATGCGCAGCCCAGCCCGTGTGGCTCAGTGGTTGAATGTCGACCTATGAACCAGAAGGTCACGGTGCGACTCCCAGTCAGGGCAAATGCCCAGGTTGCGGGCTCGATGCCCAGTGTAGGACGTGCAAGAGGCAGCCATCGACGATTCTCTCACATCATTGATGTTTCTCTCTCTCTCTCTCTCTCTCTCTCTCTCTCTCTTCCTCTCTGAAATCAATATATGTATATTTATATGAGGAACATGAGCAAAACTCCACCCTTAAAACTGCCCGGTGCAAACATGGCAGGGGCCAGTGGGAGCCCAGGTGCCTGGGAACGGAAAGGCCAGAGAGGGAAGGCTCTCCCAGCTGAGTCCGCTTCCAAACCTCTGCCCCACGCCAAATTTCCGCTCCCTTTCTTCCCTTCAGAAGCAGTGTGTTGGCAGCTGCCAGCACCAGCGGGTTTCACGTGTTATGGAAAACAGCCCGGGCAGTGCAGCTGGTCACTTGCCCGGTAGACAGCGTGTCTGGGTTGGTTTTACGTTCCTCGAAGTCTGACTCCCCTTGCAGCCTGGTGTTCGTGTTGATTTCATCACCCTCTCCCCCTCTTTCCAATTTGTTCTCCTCAAGGGCTGCTCACAATACACACAAGGTGCTGGAAATTCAAAGGCTCATATTCTCATATTTCTACTGAGTTATATATGCTCATTTTTCAAATTTTAGACAGTCCAAAGAAAACATAGGAAAGAAAATTTAAATTATCTACAGTTCAGCTACCCAGAGGTAGCCAGAATGATTATTTGACATATTTTCTTGTCTTTCTTTTAAAAAATACAAATAGTGAGGCTTTTTTAAATAGTTGTACTGGGCATATCTGTAATTTTATCTTTTTTAAT